CTGTGTTACTAGGCTCTTGCGCTCGTACATCTCCAACTTTATCAAGAATACGGCTGAGATCGTTGGTGTCGATGTTTACTAGAAAATGAGAGTTCTAGCCATAAAATTTACCGACGCCGAAACGATTCCACTAAATCCTTTTCATCTTTCATAGTTTAGTCAAAACATTTTTTTTGCACAGAATAGACTTATTACGAGGCTATAACAAAGCCCAATCCATATGTAAATCCCTCAACAGCGGTAACCTTCCTCAATTTCAGTCACAGGCACAGGAAGCCTTTTTTGAAGAACGAGTAGCTGCGTGTTAGAGTGCTGACTCACCCAAATCCTTACATCCACATGCTTTTGAACTTTCCAACCTTTAAATAATGCTACAGTTGTAGGGACTTTCTCTAGTTATGTTGTAACATGTCCTATCTCTGTATTTTCCCAATGCCACGCGTGATACAAGATAGCGGGATATACGACTCGTCTTATGCTGCAATGTTATTCCATAGAATTCATGAAGTGAACCGATGTCTCTCAGTCGTTTTGTACATAAACAGTTTATCCAACGCATTCCACAACAGTAAAGTTGAAATTAAACTGAGAATTTGGTTAAGTCAAGGTGAAAGGTTGAGAAAAGACACTCAATACAAATTCTCGGTTTCTTTCTCAAAACTTCGGTGAGTGATGTGTAATCAGCGTTACCAGGACGTCTAACAGTGCCTGAATCTATCCTTTGGGAGGAGAGTGTCTACTCGCCTTGTGCAGCTCCTGTACGTAAAGCTCAGAATTAGCATATCACGTTCGAGCAGTTCAAGGTAATTTAGAGTATTGATATCCCATCAAACACATAGTATGACTTTCTATCACGGGTTTGGGGAGTTACTTGGCTGCTCAACTTGTTCAACCACTGCCTCATTCTGCGTAAGTTCGCTATGTAGTCATTCCATCCGAAGTAGTGATGGAATCTTCAAACCCGCTTGTCTTTGTGTTAAATAAATTTCAAAAAGAATGGCAAAGCTGGTTTTCTCCCTTAGTGAAGTAATTTTTCAATGACGTCATGCCTGCAGAATTGTTTTACAGAACCTGGTGACAGGACCAAA